ACCCGATCGTGCTGTGCGACCGGTGCGACCTCGCGGTGCACCAAAATTGGTACGGCGTGCACCGGCTGCCGCAGGGGGAGTGGCTCTGCGACCCGTGCGCCGCCGGCGAGACGACGAGCACGCTCGGGTGCCCCGGCTGCCCTCGCAAGGGCGGCGCCTTGAAGCGGACGCGCGACGGGGAGTGGGGCGGCTGGGCTCACGTCGTGTGCACGCTCTTCCTGCCCGAGACAGGCTTCCTCGAGCCCGAGGCGCTCGACCGGGCGGCCGGCTTCGACCTGATCCACCCGGACCGCAAGAAGCTCAAGTGCCACCTGTGCGACGATGCGGGCGACCGCGTCTGCGGCGGAAAGATCCAGTGCACCCACGGCAGGTGCCAAAAGGCCTTCCACCCGACCTGCGGCATGGCGCACGGCCTCACGATGCAGATCACCGACGAGGGCAACATCGGCTACTGCGCGGCGCACGCGCCGGGCGCGCCGGCAAAGGCGCGCGTGCAGGGGCGGCGGCGTAAGAGCAAGGCCTAAATGTGGCCCGGCGACAAATCGCTTAATTAGTTGGTGTAGCGACAAGCCTGCGAGACCTCGCAGCACCGTCCACCGTCCACCGACTAGTAAGATCTAGTGGCATTGTACTGCATTCGAAGAACAGGGTGACACGCACATATGCACACACATGCATGTGCATGTGCATGTGCATGTGCATGTGCATGACATGCACATGAGACATGTGCATGAACATGTGCTGGACAGACATGTGTCTCAGTCTTCGGTGCACAGCAACAGACTCAGACAAACATGAAACAATTGTGTGGCAACGGACAAAAAAGTAAAACCCTTGACGCTCATCCCTCTGCACACCTCCTACACGACGCAGTTCAGCAGGCTGTCATGCAATGGGGCTATGGCGACGAGAGCTCTTCGAGGCGTGGGTGGAGAAGAGACGGCGAGATACGGCGAAAGGACTTGAGCCGCGGGGAGGAGGTGGTGGCTATGGCTTTCGGACCTTTGCGAGAGATGGCGAGCGGAGCAAAAGCGGTGTAGGCGCGTCCACGCTGCGCAGCGCCAGCGCGCAGCGGCTCTCCCGCGACGGCACAGCCCCTCTCGCAGCCCCTCTCGCAGCCGCAGCCGTAGCCGCAGCCCCAAACAGCAAAACTCTTGCCGCTCTTGTCTTCTAGTCGTGTCGGCAGTCGGGTAGGAGTGACCACTGACCAGGGGTGGGGACGGATTGAAGCATCCCTCACACACCAAGATCGTGCAGGACGGGGACACATGTACATGTACATGTTGTGCATGAACATGTCCCTAAACCCCATCTCGTCTCAGAGTTTGACCGTTTTATTGATTTATTTATGTATGTAAAAGAGGGAAGCAGTCGAGAGGACAGGGGAGTTTCTGCACACCTCTCCTTTGTGTCAGCGGTCTCTCACAGCAGCTTCCGGACAATCTCGTTCGCCTCGTTTAGCTCACGGATCGCCTCTTCGGCGCGCGCACGCTCCTCCTCCGACCCTCCTTGCGCCGCCACATCCGGGTGCATCTCGCGCGACTTTGCCCGGAAGACCTGCCGCAGCCGCTTCTCGTCGAGACATCCCGCGTCGTCGAGGCTGCGGGCACGGGAGGAGGGGATCGGTCACAGAGGGCATCAGGGCGATGATAAACGCGGAGACTGTCCCCAAAACAACCTGAAGCCGAGAAGCGCGAGCTCGTCCGGGAAGTTCGACAGCCTCTCGCGGCGGGCGCGCTCCTCCAGCTCGCACTCCTCGCTCGCGCACGCCTGGACAGCGCTCAAGTCCCGGGCTCGTCCCGTAGAGAGAGCGAGCGAGAGAGAGTGAGTGAGAGTGAGAGAGAGAGAGAGAGAGAGAGAGAGAGAGGGAGAGAGAGGGAGAGAGAGAGAGAGAGAGTGAGAGTGACAGAGAGAGGGAGAGAGAGGGAGGGAGGGAGGGAGGGAGGGAGGGAGGCAGAGAGAGAGAGAGAGAGAGAGAGAGAGAGAGAGAGAGAGAGAGAGAGAGAGAGAGAGAGAGAGAGAGAGAGACAGAGAGAGAG